AAGTAATTTGTTCCCAAACTACAGTGGTGGAACAGACATAGGATAATAGATATAGACATTCCTATTTCAAACAGAGAAAATGAAAGAAAGGAAGGAGTCACTGGTCCCAATCATTGTTGAAATGGAGTAGGGACAAAGTCCATTAGGTTTCAATGCCTGGGAATCATTTTCTGTGGGTGGAGGCTCTGCCCAATGTGCCTACAGCTCTGCCCTCAGAGTCATTCTTCCTTTCTGTTGAAGGGTAGCACATGTTTGCAGTTGAAGAGTTTTATCAGGGTGTTAATGCCTGTAGAATTTTGGGAGTCTGGCAGCCTTTCTGCATTTCATCCTGGCTCTATCTCTTTCAATCCATCTGGCAAAGTTTTTTGACAATATAACATCCTCACAAATCTTGTGAGTAAACTGGGTTTCCAAGGTTGAAGTGTAGGAGGATACTGATCTCCTGCTCTCCTACAAATGCACTGAATACACACCTACGTTTAAAGCATTTTCTCCTGAGACTCAACTGAAGGCCAATTGAACATCTCTGCATAAAAAGCAAGTGAGCAAGCAAGAGATTGTATAGAGAAGGTTGGGTACCACAAGAGCTCTCTAGGATCTGAATAAACTATCTGGGATCAGAGGTTCCTGTGAGTCCCATTGTTTACATTTTACCCTCGCCAGGGTAGCACCAGCAGGAGCTCTATCCAGGTGCTATGGCCTACCCCAAAGGCTACCGAAGCTCTTTCAGGCTGCCCTGCCCAGAGCTCACTCCAACAGGACCAATCATATGTTGTGGTGTGCCTGTACCAGGTTTTCCTGCCCGGATTCCACTCTGGTCACAGACAGCTGGACTCCAGGTCACTATCTCATGAGACTTCCTTGAACCTTCTCTTCAGGACTCAGAGCAAGGGTCACCAGGTGGACTCACACTGGGACCAAGAAGAAGGGCTTGCCAAGCTGTAGGCTGTGACCCATGAACAGGCACTGAGAATATTGTATAGACCCTAAACAGGATTTCATGTTTTTAATGAATTATAGTGAAATAACATAACACATCACAAAATAGAATAGAAAATACCAGAGTGTATCACATGTATAAAGTCTCAGTATTGTTTATTGAAACATTTGTTTTAGAGTCACTTTCAAAATGTGTGTGTGTGTGTGTGTGTGTGTTTATTGTGGGTCTTGGTGAATAAAGCTCAGAAGTCTTTCCTTGTGATACATGTACTGTTCTCGCATGTCCTTGCATTTTCCCAGTTCTATCCTAGGAGTAAGGATTAGCTTTAGAACCAGTTTTAAAATGATTGAAAGAGAAACAAAACAGGAAGCTTAAATGAGTCATTTGGACACATCAGAAGAGCACATGCACTTACAAGGAGATCAAGGTTTGGTGGGGAGAGAAGGTTGTTTGGAGGTGTACTTGGGGCCACGTACAGGCTAATTTCTGGTGTTGAGCAAAAACATTGTCTCAAATGACTTTCAAATTTTGGATCTGTCACATGGAGGAGGAGGAGGAAGAGGAAGAGGAGGAGGAGGAGGAGGATAGAAGCTCTATCTGCCCATAGGACCTAAGGAAAAACATTCCATGTCATGACCTAGAGTACTTTCAAGCTGCCCTTCCCTGCACCTGTCTCCTGTGCTGGGAATCCAGTCAGTGGGTCCCATCTTCCCTGGAAGAAAAGAAAATCAAATTCTTCAGAATCTCATTTGGGTATTATGTTTTGTATTTGCTTGGAGAAAAGGTACACAGTGTCTATTAGCAGAATATTAAATTTGAGGAACACAGAACTATATTGGGATAAAATAGAATTCGTTTGCTGAGGCTCAGGTAGAGTAGTGTTCTCACTGACCCAGGCAGCACTAGCCTCTCCCTGAAACACTACGCAGGGTGTGCTGCCAGTTCTGGGGACCTCTTCCCCTGGATCAGCTCACCCCTCACACCCTTTTTGCCGGTGCCTTCTCCCTTCAGTGTCTGTGATAGCCCACACTTTGCCTTGGATCTTCTTGCTTCTATGCCAGCTCATTTTGCACCCACTCTGTGCATCTGTGTCCTCCTTTTCCCCCACTACTACCAGGACACTTTCCCTCCTTTGCATGCTGTCCCTCTGGGGATTCCTAGTCTTGGAAAAATAACTCCATATTTTCTACCCTGAGATTTGGGACAAATCCCAGAGTTCATTTATGTTCCCTCACCCTCCATACATACCTGGCCTCCTTAAGGTCTGTGATGTCACCATGAGTCCCAAACCCAGCCCTTCCTGCACATGCCAGCTGTAGGATCTCTGAAAAGAAGCTTGACATCTATTTGTGCCTCCATGTCTCATCTATCATATCTCTATATAACGTCTATGCTATGATAATAATCACAGTGTCTGCACTGAGAAGTTGAGGTCAATTGCTAGACCCATACAAGATGCTTAACATCAGCTGCAGTGCTTCACAAACACAATATGAACATTAATTACACTTTCTATGGTTATTATGAAAGGTGGGCTGAGCAGGGGAACCCCAGTGAACCAAAACTTCCCCATTCTTGCAGATGTTCTTCCTGGCCTGGAATGCAACCACCTGGGCCTGACACCTGTCTAGAGTGACAAGCTATTATAATCAGAGGAGTAGGTGAGAACTCATGTAAACTTGGCTCTTTGGAGAGAGTCAACTCTATGAGGAAGGCTGTGATTAAGGAATATTCTGGTTGGAGAGGTTTTATGTGGGTGTCCACATTTGTACACACCTCACCATGCCTCCTTCTCTACCAGTTTGTCTTGTTCTCTGTACACCCCCAGGCCCAGAGCACTACAGTGTGGTAATTTTCAGTCACCCGGGGCAAGGTCCTCTTGGATGGGATCCCTCAATCCCTGAGGGCTTTAGGATACCAAGGCCCAGAGCCAGCATCAGGGCTGATGTGTAGACTGTGATTTTACAACTCTGTCACAGTGTGTGGGTGAGAGGGGGTAGTCACAATTCTTGCCTACCAACCATGCCTCAAGCTCTGAGTCACAGTGACCAGTTAAAGCCAAAGAAGAGACTTGAATCCCACATTCTCTTCCAGGAGCCAGTCATTTGCTAGTTTACAGTTTCTCCCCATCTCTAAGCTAAATCTGTTTGGACAAGGGGACACATCTAGAGGTGGGATAAAGGCAGAGGCAATGGAGACAGTGCCTTCAGCAAGAGCATGGAGGCCCTGCAAGGCTGGATGGAAGCCAAGAGGCCCAGGTGATGGGCAGCGGATGGTCAAAAGAGTACAATCCTGCCTCCATCTGGGGCTAGTGTTTGATATTCCTTGCAATTCACTTTGGTGACCTCTGTTGGTGGCCTTAATGACCCCCAACATGCAAAATGGTTTGTTCTAAATAGACTCCCCTCTGCCTTTCCCAAGTTGACCGTTCCATGTCTGTGGCTGGCAAAGTAATGTCTGGCAGACTATCCCATTAACTCTCATCCCCACCTCTGCCTTGAGCCCCTTATCAAGAGACCATGGATAGGCAGTTACATGCCTTTGTCCAGTGGTTGTTTCCATCTGTTGTATCATGGCTAAGCGGACTCTTCAATTCCTGTCCACCAGGTGCCCCATGGACTGCTCCTTCCCTATTCCTCCATGTTCCCCCATCATCTCTGTCTCCTCTCCACACTCTCCAATGGACGGTCTCAGCTGCTGACCATGAAGATCTGACCGAAGGCAAAGTCCAAGGTTAACAAACACCTGCAGATCCAGCCCCAGGATTAGGGTGTACGAGATCTATCAAGTAAAGACAGGAAACATCCTCCACTGAACCTGAGGTCCACGTAGGCATGTCTTGTTCCATGATATCTTTCCAGCACTAGGAACAGCACTCAGCACACAGTTCAAGCCCATTAGATCTTTGTTGAATGAATGAGCCCATCGATGAGGCAATTCCACCTCTAGGAATATGTGCTAATGTGATACTCACACATGTGCACAGGGTTGTGTGCACAAGAATGAGAGGAGCAAACAACTGGGAAAAAACTTGTGTTTATTAACTGTCAGGGACTGATAGCAAGGTTTGAGTAATGGGGGGTTGCGGCATGGAGCACCTGTTGAACAGGGAACAGAATGAGGGGGACATCCCCAGAATACACTGTTAGTGGGAAAAAGCAGGTGAGAGATGCTCATATGGGTATTCTGTGTGTGTGTGTGTGTGTGTGTGTGTGTGCGCGCGCGCGCGCGTGCGTGCGTAAATGCAGAGAGAAATGTCTGAAACCACAAAAACTGCCCTCGGGAGTCACATCTGGGAGGGGAGGGCTGTGCTCTTTTGTACAGAGATATCTGACAGCACTTGTTTCCTGAGGGAAGTGCATGGACACAAAACAGAAATATACCTTCAGTATATGTGTTACTCATCAACGAAACTCTAACATCTAACAGAATATTTGTACATAGTAAGAACAATCAGGTTTAACTTTTCACAGCTGTGAACTCTTTTTTTCACTCGCTGTACACCTGATGGCCAGGAATTCACAGCCTGGCCCATGTCCATGAAAGGCCATCAAGTCTGCTCCTTATCATGGGCACTTGTGACATTTCTGAGGTAGAGGCAAGGAGAGAGAAGGAAAATAAGTGGCAGTGACCTCCCATAGCCGGATCCAACAATACCCAGGCCCTCATGCTGACCTGCAGGGCCTCGAGGACACATATTCCACCCTACCTCAAGATCTGGACACACCTCCCACTGCTTCTCAAGGTGAACCATATGCTCATGCCCCAGAGACTCCCTCACCATGCTATGAATTCCTATGTTAGTTGACAGTGTGGCCTATTCATCAGAAGCTGACTGGGGTTGTCCGGGGCATCCTTGTTGGGGACGATCCCT